CCTTCTAGCTCAGAGCACATCCCGCATGGAGGTGCCTACCTTCTAGCTCAGAGCACATCCCGCATGGAGGTGCCTACCTTCTATCAGCTCTTGCTGTGGGAACAACACACACAGCTGCTTAAACCACGTGGAACCAGGGTCCAGCCAAGCTGATACCCCACCTCAACTAGCACAGTACCCTCTTGTTTGTTGCTCGCTTTATCACACTGTGGTGCAGAGCATGGCCCATGTGGTTTTCTTGGTGCGTGTGCAGGCTGACTCAGTGGTTAGTTTGTAGAAATGGCCCCAGTGTGCCAGGGAGACGTGAGGTCCCAGCCCTTCTGCCTGGAGGGACTGCAACCCATCAGTTCACAATTCTTTTCCAGGGCAGGTCATGTGGCCACTCCTGGGTGCCAATGACAGAGAAGAGGCATGCTACACGGTGGCCAGCGAGAGCTCAGGCATTTGGACAACCCAAGTGACCACCAGGGCCGAGAACCAGGGGTCTGGGGCAGTCTCCACAGTGACTGAGTGAGAGTTGGTGGTGGCTTAGCCAAGACAGTGGAGCCGTGGGTTTTCACTTCCATGACTTTGATTTTTAAAGTCCCCATTGGTTCTTTCTCCAACCTGCCCACCATCCTGCAATGTTTTGCTCTTTTCTTAATCTTGATTCCTCTTCCGTTCTGTTCATAATTTAGACATACTCACCTTAGCTGTCAGTTCCCAGATTGCTATCCTATTGTCCCACGTGCCTGGGGCTATAAGCGTCCCAGTGGGGATGGCTGTCACTCATAGTGTATGGCCTCCTTGTGTTTTGTAATTTTTCATTGTGAACTCATTTTGGTGGGACATTGCCCCCTGGTGGCCCAGGGACCCCAGCAGCCTTACCAAGCAATGACCTAGTTACTGGGTTTTTGTTCTGCAAGATGCCTCAGGGTGTCACTAGATTGAGATGAACTTCCTGGACCACACATACACTTTCAGATCCCAAGTCCTTGTGAGGTGTGGGCCCAATGTCACATTTTCAGGAGTGGCTTTCCTTTTATCCCCAGAGTCCAGGGAGACAGGCACGGGGCCTGGTCCCCTTACTGGCACTGGTGGCTTTTTTCTGGCCCATCTGACCCCAGGGGTCATCCCTGGAGGGTTACACCTGTTTACTTCCTGGCTCAGGGCCCCCAGGCCTTGTCTCCACCTTCACAGAGCATTGGCCCCTCCACAGCAGCTCTGGTTCCCCTTGCATGCTCAAGGCGCCTCGTTTTCGGTTCCTGCCTTGTTCCTGGCGGATGGGAGCTCCTTCCTGGGTGCTCAGCAGCTGTTGTTCAGTGCCTGCTGTGGGGCAGTGGCCAGGTTCCTGGTGCACCCTTGTGTTGGAGGCCAAAGTCTGCATTGATTTCATTCTCCGTAAGCATATCAAATTGGCAGCACTGGATGGCTGTGGTTACCTGGGAGCCCCACACTCGAGGAGCTGGGGAGCTCAGAACGGGGCATGGCCTTCACACGGCTCCGTGGGGCGCGTTGCATACCTGAGGCACAAGGTTTAGGGGAGGCATGTGTGTACAGGTGCAGACGAGGCCTGTCCAGGGGGCCAGGGGGAAGGCTATGTTGAGAACGACTGGTGCCTCACTGGCTGATGTGGGCAGTGCTCCCACTCCAAGGATGGCAAGTGAGAGGGTGCCAGGAGGGTTCACATGGGCAGTGACAGACCCCATGGTGGCTTGGTGGCTGTCACAATGTCCATCCCTCCGTCCTGAGGTCCCGGGCCTGTGGGTCAGGGGTGAGCATGTGACCCCAGCTTAGCCAGTGGGACAATGGAGCGGTCACCTGGGAGCTTCTGGGGAGGAGGCCAGCACAGTGTGTAAAGGTGACACCATGGAGGACAACACCCCTGTCCTTGGGGACACAAGGACAAGGATGAGACAGGGAACTAGACTGCTGGCCACCACCAGGCTCACTCAGGGCAGCTGGGCTGAGGGCACTGCTCTTCACAGTGGCCCCACATCTGGTTCAGGGTGCTGGAGGCTCACTCCACCCCCAGCCTCCTTTGTGTTCAGTGAGTGATGGCAGCTTTGGGTTGAGACACCCCAGCAGTGGGAGGGCTGCAGCTGTGTCATGGGGGGGACACCTGTGATTGCACTGGCCGCCGAGGGTTTCTTGGGGGTGTTCGCAGCTGCACACAGGGTACACCTGTGGTTTCCTGGGGCCTGGAAAGGACAGCCATCAGCCCTGCACAGCTGGTCCCCTGGTTGTGCACCTTAGCACGCTGGGGGAGCTGCCCCCTATCCTGAGACCCTGAGGGAGCACAGAGCCCATCCTCAGCTGAATCAGCGGTGGCCCATCTGCAAGGACGTTCCCACTCCCACCCCAGACCCTCACAGGGCTTCCTGCCACCCACCATTAGAGGGTCCTGTGAGAGGCGGGGCCCAGGGAGCTCTTGGGGCATGCTCAGCAGTGACCCAATGGTTGTGGGGCTCATAGCTCAGTCCACCCCAGCTGTGTGCACGCAGTCCCCACCCACCCCACTGAGGGCATGGTATCATAGCACTATGGCTTCCTGGGGGCTGTCCTCAGGGGGCTGTACTGGGGGCTGTTCTTTGGGGGCTGTCCTGGGGCCTGTCCTCAAGGCTGTCCTAGGGGCTGTCTCATCTTTTTGAGGACAGTTCACCCATAACGTCAAATGTGGCCACCACTGACTGGCACGGGAAGCTGCAGAGTGCCAGGCCAGGAGAAGGTCACAGACTCGCACGGAGGAAGGCCGGCAGACTTAGGAGATACCTTATTCGCACCTTGTCTTTCTTCACGGTTACGTGGAGACTTCGTGTCTGGCTCAGGAACGTTGTCTGGGTTTTTTCAGCTGTGCTGGGTCTTTCCTGCTCCCGCAGTATAGGGGATAACAAAGTTCACAGGGTGGGACTTGGTCCCTTTGTTTTTTCTGTTTCCCAGTGTTTGTTGGGACTTAGTGGCTAGGCTGTCCCCACAGGGGAAAGTGGGCTGTGAGTGCCCTCTGGGAAGGTACATCAGACACAGATGAAGGGGTTGTTGGCCTGTCGCCACCAAGCCGAGCCACCTTTTGGATAAAGAGCCGGCCTTTGTCTGAGCCGGGGAACAAACTCCTTGTCTTTATGGGATCGTTACTGGGACAATGACCGCCATCCCTGTGGGCTTGGGGTGCAGCAGACCATAACGGAATCCTAGGGTGAAGAGTCACTGGGGGTGCGCAGTGGCTGACTGCAGCAGTCATCTCTGGGCAGGCACCGTGCAGTGGGAGGGTCTGCAGGGCCCAGTCTGTGATGCCCTTCTGTGCTTCTGCAGCTCCGGGAGGAAGCCTGGCGGGGCTTTGCTGCCCTGGACGACCCGCTCACTGGACTCCTGGACATGCTGGAGAGTGGCCTGCCTAGCAAGGGGCAGGGCCACTCACTGCTGGCCTGGCTCGCCTGTGAGCTGCAACGCTGGCTACAGGCGCAGCCGCGATACCCTGGGCCAGCCCCCGTGAGTGCGCCCCCGCAGGCTCCTACGTTCCAAAGCCACGGCCTTCCCAGCCTCCGTCCCCCTGCACCCACACCCACCTAACCAGGCTGCTGTGCCCAGCTCCACTTGTCCAAAGCTGATGGGTGGGGGTACTTGGCCTTAGGGCTAGCTCTCCTGCTTTGGTCCATGGCCTTGACCCTCGGTGTCCCAACAGGGTCTCCCCACTATTTCTCTGTGTCCTGCTGCCTGCCCTAAGCATCTGCCCCATGGCTGCGTGTCCCCATCCCAGCCTGCCCCAATCTAGAGCCCTGCCCTGTCAGGTCCCAGGACTGGCTGCAGGTGGGTGGCAGGGAACTCGGGAGGCCCTGTAATGAAAGCCTGGCCTGGCCTGCCTCGTGTCCTCCAGGGCAGCCCACAGCTGGAGCAGCTGCAGGCCCGTCTGGCTGGGCTCCTCACTGGGAGCCCGCTCAGCCTCACCGAGCCGCTGGTCAGCATCTTCCGGCTGCAGGACGCCGACCGGGGTCTTCTGCTGGGCCATATCGACCGCCTCCACAACAGGGGCAAGTTCAAAGAGGTGCATGTAACTTCTGATCATCCCTGAGGGAACAGGGCCCACTGGGCAGGACTTGGCCAGGTCTGCTGGAGGCTTGGGCCCCGAGCCTGAGGCTTCTTCTCTGCACCAGCTTCTAGCCCCCTGTGTGGGCGCTGGGGGGCTTCAGGACCCTGTTAAACACGTGCTTGATGTCCACATTGGGGTGGGCCTCACCAGACCTGTCCTCCTGAGGGTACCCTGGCACCACGGGCCTCACACAGCCTGGTTCTGGGCCTAAAGTCTAAGCCCTGGCCTCCCCGTCCGTGTCACTGAACATCTGGGGGGCGTCTGGAAACTGCAGACCCCCGCCCACTCCGTCGTCAACGCGTCTGTTCCACATTCATCCACTGGCCCTGTACCTTCAGTGTGCTATTCGCATCCAGAGTCGACGCAAGGGGACAGCAGGAAGTGGGCCGACGTACAGAGGCCCGTGACGCCCCCTTCCCCTGGCTCCTCCAGATACCCCTCGTGCCACCTGCCCCTGGCCTGCCCCACCCTGCCTACCCCTCCAGGCGCCACCCGGCCCCAGTGGTCCCCTCCGTGCCCCCGTCCAGTGCCCTGGCGCACAGCTCTTCTGTGCCAGTGTTCTGGGGCCATGTGGCACTGGGCTCTCCTTTTCTCTCTTCTTCCCGTCCCCAACCCCACCACCACCTGGCGTGTCCGAAGGTCTCTCGCTCGCCCGAGTCCACATCTGGGCTTTGCTGCTGCCCCTTGAGAAGAGGTCCTTGTCTGTGTGTGCCTGACCTCCAATGGCAGGACCAGACCCCTGTAGGCGAGGAGCCTTGGCTCTGCCTCCCCTCCCGGGGGCCTGCACCCTGGCTGTGCAGCCGCCCACAGCAGGCTGGGCCAGTCTGTGCTCCAGGAGCCAGTTGGGGTGGCAGTGGGGGGGTGTCTGAGTGCCTGGGCCTGACCTCGGGCCCCTCCATGGAGCCCCTCTGTGGAGCAGGGAACACACGTGGCTGGTCAGGGGTGGGGGGTGCTGCACCCACTCCTGGTGTCCGTGGTATGAGGGCCACTTTGTCGTGAGCTGGGTTGGCCCAGCAGCAACGGTGCTGATTCTGAATCTTCCTGTGGTTTCTCGGCTCTGGGGACTGGGGACCCCTCGGCTGCCCTGTGTGACCCTCGGTCATGCTTTTAGTTCGGTGCTGGCACTCAGGGGACATAGGCAGACTCCTTCCCCCTTCCATGGACAGCTGCTGGTTTGGTCAGCATCTGCCTCTCCTTGATCCCTGGTGGGTCAGTGTGGGCTCAGGAACCTTGTCAGGTGAGGTGTGACATTTAGCTCAACGTTGGGGCTTTGGGATTAAGGACAGTTTGGCAGGCACTCTCTCAGCATTGCGGGAGCTCATGGCAGAGCTCACAGACGCAGGCACCTTTGGGCCTGGCCAAGCGTGTCTGGCTGTGGCCTGAGCCCTAGAAGCAGTAGGAAGTGGTGTGGTCCGCAGTGAGTGGGGCAGAAGACATAGGCAGCTTAGTACAGCCTTGGCACCAGCCAGTGACTGAGGCAGGACCAAGGCAGACTCAACAGGTGCAAGGGGTCCTGGTGGTCACAGGGCATGCTGGGAAGCTGGCACACAAACCTCTGGCAATGCCAGCTTGGAGGTTCCACTCCCTCAGTAGCCTTGAGCCCTTGGTCTTGCCAGCCTCCCCCCAAAAAAAACCAAACTCACTGCCATCGAGCTGATTCTGACTCATAGTGACCCCCACTGGGTTTCCAAGGCAGTAAATCTTTATAGAAGTAGATTGCCCCGTCTTCTTTCTGGCTGGTGAGCTTGAACTGCCAGCCTTCTAGTTAGCAGTTTGATGCTTTAGGCCCTGTGCCAGCAGCACTGTCAGGGCCTAATTCAGGGACAGTGCTGCTGGTGGCCCAGATCAGGGTGGGCTGGTGGTGACCTGCAGCTTGGAGGGTGGAGCTGTGCAGGAGAGGGTGGGGAGTCGTGCAGGGTGGAGGGTCTAAGTGGGTCTGAGTGGGCTGG